CCCCCCCCCCGATGTATGGGCATCTAAAACATAGTCAAGTATTGCAAATCCAATTGTGAAAGCCTGTTCTCACTGCTCACGCATGGGTGATGATACACGTCACCAGATTATTGATCCGAAGGAAGGGTAATAAAATCGCACCATCACCATCACCATCTGACTTTCCACATTCTTTTTTGTATTGTATCGCAGTCCTTTGGAGGAGGGTTGTATTCTCCTTTCTATAATTTTTGGTAGTTATCCATCATAGTCTATCTATCTCATTTGCACGGTATAAATGAACGAGATTGTGGTAATCCAAGTGAGTAGGGATTACGAATCATGAACTGTGGTCGCAACTAAAGCACAGAATCGCACTACCAATCGTAGGCTGAAATCTCCAGTCACCGTGACGCAAGAATACCGCAGCAATAGTGGTTCATCTTTTGAGAGAAATCAATGAGATCAAATAATATGCAAATAGAAATATTATTGGTCAAACGCGTATCAATCAATCGTCGTCCGTGTTGTTCGAGTCACACGGCTTCTGTTTGAACTATCTGACTGTTGATTTTTCGATACCGCTGGTCCAAAGTCCAATGTCTGGGAACTGTAACGCGTAGGCGCTTAGCTGGCGTCTTATCCGGAGTTGACCCACTACAACTCTCCTGCCTCAATAGAGCCTCCTCGATGTGCATTGTTCTTCTGGTAGATCTAATGGACTGATGCCAGAAGAGTAACGGTCTGTTTGGAAGGCATTTCAGGAGCACCGCATTGCTGGTTTCGGATTACTGTATCTAGCAACGCCGAATCAGTGGAATCCTTGTTGGAGCTGGGCGGCTCCTTGAAATGGATCTGGTCAATTCGGTGTTGATGATCTGTCATATCTTTCATCTAGTCAACACAATGCATTGAGGATCAAAACCTTTGCGATTCGGTTAGCTAACCCAAATTTCTTCGATCTTAAAGTGCCCCGCATACCTGTACTGCGGTAGAAAAGGTTTCAACAGTTCTTCAGACCGTCACATAGTCTTCTGGTTTGCCGATTCAATAGCACTTTCAATCATGCTCACCAGATTCTTTTTATTGTATCGTTCCAGCAGGAGTGACGTGACGTTTTGCGGAACTGTCGGCCTGATCATATATCACCGAGAAGTTAGTTGTACACTATCAAAATCGGACGATACTGCTGGGGTCTTTGAAACATACAAAGTATACAAATCGGTGTACACATTCCTTTGCCTACCTCCCCTTGAGGCGGCAACATGCACTTATCAAATTCCTAATAGGAAGAAAACAGATCAACTCATACACTTACCATCGCTAAATTGATTCATCTTATAATTATCATTATCGACAGGCGCCATATTGTTGTATTTCCCGTTTTCTTTTCTATTTCTGTGTTTTTTGTTTCCACAAAGGACGTATTCAAACTATTAGGTGGTCGAGCCAAGTCGCTCCCGTCCGATTATCCGGAAGTCTTTCGTTGGATTTCCCGTTGGGCTTTGACCAGTGACTCGCTTTTGTATTACACACTGGGACATGTGACAGTGGACACGCGGTCGGTGGGTTCGCAGACCCGGGTCGGACCGACGACATGCGACAGTTGGGGCGTGACCAATGTGGCGGGCTACGGTATTGCATGTCAGGACAACAGGTCAGTAATTGCCTAGACTAGGTGGCGCATGTGCTTGTCAGTTGGGATTGCTAATTCCGTTGTTTTTTCCGCGCTGTTTATGATTGTATGGTTTTACGGAACAGCTGTACACAATCCGCCCTCTCTCCCTCGTGTGTGTGTGTGTGTGCGCGCGCTCTGTTTGAACAATGTTGCCGCTTGTCACTACTGGTCCGGTACGTTTGGATGGCGCATGAACAAATATTAGTCATGGTTTCATCTTGAATCGATCGGTATGTATGTATCGCGGGTTGAAGGGACAATACACAGAAATAAAGTAGTTGCATATTACATTTGCGTGTTAGAATCAACCAGGAAACAGCCAAATCGTCAATTTTTACAATTATTGATTATTGATTATTAGTTAAAAGTAGCCCCGGAAACAGAAGATTTCACAAATTTGTTAACTGGAGCGCAGTGAATGTCTCGACTGAATCTTCTGTAAATGCGGCACTTTTCACAGGTATGGTAACAATTTAAACAAACTTTTGGACAGCACGGTCAAGCTCGATCACAGTCTACCGAACGAAAGTGCCTGTATCAAGCTCATCGGAGCTATCTTTTAACAAGAACTCTAAGACAGATGCCGTTGTTGTTGTTGTTGATTTGAACTGAATGTCCTTCGGATTTCACCTTCACGCACAATCCTCATTTCATTGATTCAACTATACCCTCGGAAGCACTAGACTCTTATTAGACCTCGTCAGTAGTGCATATCCACCGTCCCGTCCGGGATTTCACCTCCGGAACCATCGCATAGAGAGCGCGTGCGTTATCACGTGCCAACCAGAGCATACCTTAGCTGCACAAAATTGCCAATTCATGTTTGTTCAAGTGTCGTCTTCAGTGGTACTCAGTCAGTTCAAGTTGGTCCATTGTCACCGTACTACCGCAGAATTCATTAAGGCTAGAATTTACTTCTTACATTCGTTTTTACTTCCTCAAAACACCAGACTGTGACAATAACTTGGTCCAAACACGTTTGAATTTCAATTATTCCACAACTCCGGTCGATTTTTTTTCCCAGTTGTGTCTTGTCAGACGTGGTTGTTGTGTGTTTTCATGTGCAAAGATCGGTGTTGAGCCGGTAGCACTTTTATTATGCAACCCCGGTGCATTTGTGAGTATTCGGAAATTGAACATTCACAGTACCGCAACACGATCACTAAAGTTATTGTTCCCCGATCAAGCCAACCCCGCAGTTTAAAAATCATTAAACTAACCGCGATATTTGTATACGGAAGCTCACAATTTGTAAATCAAAGGTTATCTGGTAGTGGTCCTGCCAAGCATAACGAATTTAGCAGATCAACTTTGGCCGTTGATTAAATTACTTAAAGGACTTCAAGCAGTCCAGTATTCACTTGAAATTCATTTCCGTCTAATAGAATGGCATTTACCTTCTACCCGTAATTTACTGCTTCTCATAAGTGGGTAGTTGTGTGACTAACGACTGTAGCGCATCAAAGAAAATAACTACGCGTATTCTCGAGACTCGAGCGGCGTACACAGGAGTTAAATACCTGTGGCGGCGACGAGACGTTTCACTGAAATTGATCCCTAATCGGGACGTGCAGTTTTTGACAGTGCGGACATCCTCGGACGATCCCTTTCTTGAGCGGTGGTGGCCTGGTGGTAACGCCACCAAAGTACCACCTCGGGGGACGTGTGTTCAAACCCCACCACCACCGCCTGACTTTCCCCATGGCAGCCCTTTGATTGGCCGCTTCCCCCTTCCTGAAAGTTGTATCATTGTGTATTTAATAAAAGGAAGTAAAATTAAGAAGAATCTGTGGCTAGAAGAAATCGGTCGCCTAGTGCTTTTTGACAACCGATGTTTAGGTAGATTGGTCCAGGTGTGATGGAGTGAGTGGGTTGGTGAGCTAGACGTAGGTTGTCGAATGTTTCGGAACACATCGAACAAGAACTCGCTAGCTCATCGAACTCAGCTCAGCTGGCTCCGTACGAGTGTTATTTGCAGTGGTCGTTCCAGACTGGAGAAAGCCACATGGAGACAAGCAGATGGCGTGGAAACGAGACAGAAAGAAATGCACACAGCGATTAGATACAGTAGATGTTTCTCTTTCTTCCGGGTCTGGGACCAAAAGACTCCGTAACTGGATGGTCGGAGACACTGAAGGTCATGTCTGCGAACCGACAGTAATGCGATATTGTTTTCACTTATCAGACCAAAATGCTTGAGATATTGTGTATGCACAGTTGAACTATGCTCTCTGTGAGTTCATCATAGACGTTTGCCTTCTTTTCCCTTTCCTAAAAAATTGGGTCAATCTCTATTCTCCTTGCACTTTTTCATTTACCTCTTTCGCATTATGAGTTTGGCACCGATCGATAAAGTTCACTTCATTGAACAATGATGATGAGAATGAGATGTCGTAATCCTCTCTTTTCATAAGAGCAATCCCAGTTCCTTTGTTTGGTCTATTTGTACGCAGTTTCGGATTCTGATTAGGCTCTTTTAGTTTCAGATGTTCAGGTATCAGGATACCTCGGTGTTCCGCTGTTTGATGCCCGCTGTACACAGTTTACTAACATACTTTTCAGAATATCGAGGTCTTTACTGGAAACAAGTATTCCAGCTTTCGTTTCTTTGTACATTTTCTCTAACTGCCTGTCCATTTCCAACTCGCCTGTTCTCCATCTTGGACCGCAAAATTGTGGTCCGCATGACAGTAGTTCAAGTGTAACTTGGTCCAGGTTCATCTTTAAAAAGTTACGCTCGAATGTTTTTCTCGGTGATCCGGTAGAGGACCAACCGATTTGAACTTAAACACACCATGGAATAGTATGAGCCGCTTCTTTTGAACATACTTTGTGACCGCTTGGCCAAGCATTGACTGGAACATCAGCTTCCCTTCTTCGTAAAGTAACTCAGTCGTGCACGCCTTTTGGGCAATATTCTTTTCGAACAGAGTGATTCTGTCGTGATCAGTTTTTCTGGTTGGTTGAGGCTGTTACGTTTCAAGGGACGATTGTTTAGTTCAATCTGATGTCGACGCAAAACCTCCAGCTGGCTGTTTCCCAATTGACTGAATGCATTTCTTGGTCAATTCCGTTGTTTTCCCTGTTTTTCGGGGACGCGAATGATGAACTTCAGGTGCTAGTTCAGTTCCTTGACCGTTCCCAGGGTACTTGGCAGATCTTGGATAAATCTAAAAAAACAATATCCGAGAGGTGAAACAAGCTGTTTTTGCGATAAAATCTTCAACTGACTGCATACTCTGTTTATTTACTTGACCCTTATCTCAGCTAGGTCATTGATGCTTCCCCTGCACGCAGGCGGCGAGGGGGGGGGGGAGGAGGGATTTGTATCAATGAGTTTTGTCATCTGAAGCCATGATGAAGCTAAAACCCGAACGAACTAAGCACTTCAGATTGCAAAGAGAGCAATACGAACGTTTGGACAGCGATTGCATTGACTGTGCATAGAATGATAAACTAGAGTCGCTTGATTTGTGATGATGGTGTGTAATCAGTGATAGGGAAGGCTTGATTACCATTAAACATGTGTCTACTTCCCGTATACGTTGGTTTATACCAATTTTCGCTGTCCTAGTTTCATCCTGTCTCCACCAACGCAAGTCAAGTAATTAATCGACAAATATCCTATGATCTGTGATCAGTATACGAAAGCAACCGGAGCTGATATTCCACGTTTCACATGTCTTCTTCGTTGAGGATGTATCCCGAGCTCTCGCATAGCTAACCGTGACCGACAAAGTAATGTGAGTTCTGGGGATATTAAAGATGTCCTGTTTTGCTTTTAGAAAGATCATTTACAAAGCAGTAACATGCCTGATCTTCAAACCTCATCGATGCTCGTTCACGCCCGCCTATCAAATAAAGCAATGCCGACATACTTGAGGTCAACCGCTTCAGTTTCTGTTCTCACAGCTTACGGTTCTAATGGCTGTAGAGTCCTGGTTTCGAACACCCTCCAGCACTTTTGGTTTTTGAGGAACGTCCGGATAGCATGCTGTGGTGAGTCAAATCCCCAAGATGACGCCAGTCAAGCGAATACGCGTTCCAGTTTCCGGACACTGAGCTGTGGACCAACAGTATCGATCGGTCAACGGTAAGACAATTCAAAAAAAGCCGTATGACTCGAAGAACAGGGAAGGCGATTGGTTACTGCTCGTTTAACCAATGATATTTCTATTTGTAGGAGTAAACTTCTACTGATTTATTTCAATAAATGAATCACTCTTTCTGTGGCCTTTTTTCTGCATCTCAGTGACGGTAGATTCCAGCCTTCGATCGCTAGTGTGATTCAGTGTTTCCGTCGCGTTTGTAATTCGGGATTCGTAATCTGTACCTACTTAAAGTCATGCGCACTGTGTTTCCAGTTCACTGTTCAACAGTCATTTGTGCACAGAATGGTGCGATTAAGCATTTTTAGTTGAAAAAAATCGTTGCGGAGACGAATTTTACATATCAATCACAAATAATCACTCTCCTCTCTCGCCTTCAATAGGCAATTTTTGTATAATACAAGGATTATTCCCCATGACAGTTTCATGACCACTCCTCAAATTGTCTTGCTGTTCCCAAAACGATCAAGTGTGATTGATTAGGTGTAGACTAGAACAAGAAGAAACTCCTTTTAAATTTTCCGCTACTTTTGTTCTTCTGACAGGATAATTCGCTTCGAACGGAAACACAACATCCCAGCTCAGGCGTGTACAGATCTTCCAAGCCACGTGGACGTGAAAAATCACTGTGAATTCCTTATTCGTCAGTTGAAACGCTTCAATCCACTACAAGATCAACCGGTCTGTGAAACACTCCCCTGCCCGGGCCCGAACCAATCCCAACCGGTATTTGTCGAACGTTGGCAAGAGCATGGGAATAATGTGATTTTTCTCCTATCCACCGGTGGGTGGCAAGTGAATTTTCACAACCATTCCAAACTGATTGTGCATTATCCGCACATTTTGCTTGCGTGTGATGCCAGACGTCAGTCTAAGGAACCGGGCTACGCCAGTTCGATCGAGCTATCCACGGAGAATTTGGAAATGGAATTTGATCGTTGGCTAGATCGACATCCGCAACTGGATCATATTCTACAAATTTTGTTGTTTATGCTTTTATAAAACACGAATGGAGCGAGAGAGAAAACACACACGAGACCGCACACCGTTGCAATTTCGTTTCCAAGCCCATTTATTTTTGTTTTATTTCAATCATTCGTTGAATGCTTTGCTCGTTTGTTTGTCTCTCTATCTGTCCGCCTGTCGGTTTGCTTCAGCTCTCCTCTCCTCCCCTCGGTAATTTGTCTGTCATGTTCCGTTTTTTTTTGTTTACTTTGATTTCACACGCTGATTTACTAAGTCCCATGACATAGTCATCTTGCCGGTATCTACTTATTTTTTTACTCTATCCCAATAGTGAATGATATTGATTGAAACTGTTTGATTTCTTTTCTGATGCCAAATCTCGTTTCCCATCTGAGAAGGATCAATTCAGTAGATTGGATTGCGTTGACACGCCATCGGATGGTGCGTATTTGGCAGGCAGTGAGTTTCATATTGNTATTGAGTAATATCGATCAATTCGATTTTCCTAAGTGTTTAGTCACTCAACGGAACTTTTCTCAACTCTTACGCAACGTGCTCGAATGAATGTCATAAACATTCGAACTTACGGGCAAAATATGACAACAGGCACACTCTCATTATATCCGATTGGCGGTCCTTTACACAATGAGCCCGATGAACCGCACGACGTTCCCTTGAGGGCACCGGNCCGGACGGGTAAGCGTTTCCATCCAAGCGTTAAGTAAGCCACTCCAAGTTAGGAGCTTAATCAACTTGAAGCGAAAGAAGGATCAAAGTTGTAGAAAGTCTGATACCGAATGAGTAACGCCAGTTACTTTCTACAGTATCCGGTTTAAAGGGGCTGCTCTGGAACGGCCAGTCGTGGATACCGCTAAAACAGTAAACCATGGATGGATATTCCATTTCGCCTGTTTACCGAGTTTGGAAATTTGTTTGCAAACGTTTCATCACCAGCCGAAGTGACATCATCAGTGCTTGTGAAGTGATAGTGTTGTGCACGACCCGTTCGTTTATATGTGTGATCTTTCTTCTCCGTTGACTGTGTTTTGCCCCCTTGTTCTCACTGTGCTCTACTCGGTTCGCGGTTAAACTGCTGCGAAGAGTTGAGAGTGAGAGGGGATGTGGTTGTCCTTCCGCCCTGAGATTGCGGTTTCGGTCCGTTCTCAGATCATGGCGTGACCTGTTTTTATCCCTAAATTGAATTGGTGTGTACACGTGAACCAGCTCGACATGTCTGTTTATGAGGAGTATGAGGAGTACCAAGCTGCGAGAAATTCTCTGGCGTGCTATGACCGGGGTTCGGTCGATAATTTCCCCTGATTCGAAGTCAAACCGGATAGATATACTGATCAAATATTTTAGATTAGATGATATGGAAACATATATGGCCCCAATACTTGTAATTTTCATAAACAAGTTTTGAAATTTCATTCTTTGACAATGTGAAATGCTATTTTTCCTTGTTCACGTGAAACTGCTTATTTGTTACAATTAATTAGGCCATAGATTTCAAACACGGAGATGGTGCGCTCAGTGTGTTTTGAATTTATTTGTGGGTATCAGGCGGGTTGGGGGAAAAGATAGAATTCGAAAAGGATTACAGGTCTGGGTAATCTATTACGTTCGCCAGTGGAACATTTTTTGGTGTTCCCGAATGACAGTTTCGAATCCTGTGAGATTCGTAGTTGATTTTTACCGGTGTAACAAAAAGCGCTCGTTGTGGGGTAATCGATACTTTTACGACAGTGGTTTTGTTTGACATGTTTAACCAAATCCGATGTGAACTGGGATTAGGAAACACTTTTGCTTTCGACCCCTTATTAAAGCATCCTAAATAGGCATTCAGGAAATTGGTGTTTGTGTGTGTGTGTGTGTGTGTGTGTGTGTGTGTGTGTGTG